TGTGTGTGTGTGTGTGTGTGTGTGTGTGTGTGTGTGTGTGTGTGTGTGTGTGTGTGTGTGTTTTGTCACGACTTCTGCACCGTTTAAAGAAATTTAATGGTGATATTTAGAATTTGTGTAAGTAAAATATGAGCACTATATGATGGACGGACTGCAGTAGAGCCTGGGAGTAGAGCGCTGTATATGAGCGAGGCTAGCACAGATGCTATGAGTAAAGCTAGCAGTAGGGTAAAAACAACCTGTTTGAAGCAGATGTTAAGTCCATGATTTTTTTCCGGTCAATTTCAGCTGGTCCCATTGCTGGAATCCAGCTGTTAGCCTAGCATCTTAGCTTGGGAACAGTGACAAAAAATACTTGCCAGTGTTCAAAAGAATGAGCCAGCACAGACGAGCTACGTCGTCGGGTCTAGACTCTGCAGGTTACACTCATCTACAGGCCAGCGGTCACTCTTTCAGGGATGAAGATGTTCTCATCCTTGATTGAGAGGAACATTGGTTTGAGAGAGGAGTAAAGGAAGCCATCTTTGTGAAGAAAAACCGTCCACCATTAAACAGAGGTGGAGGCCTTCGTGTCCAGTTGTCCTCTACCTGCAGTTAAATGCAAACAAGACTGAAACTCTTATCGCCCCGATGATATAAAATCCCTGTAATCAGGCAGCACCTTGCCTTTTTTAACCCCTTCAGTGAAAAATAGTCTCAGAAATCTGGGTGTTGTCATTGATAGTTCTATGTCTTTTGACAGCCATTGTAAAATTTTAGTTAACTGTTTTTATCATTTAAGGAACATTTCAAAGCTGAGATGTTTTKTGTCACAGAAGGAACTAGAGATGGTTGTTCACGCTTTTATTTCTTCTCCTTTAGATTACTGCAACAGTCTTTTTACATGTCTAAACAAATCCACATTGACTCGGCTTCAGTCTGTGCAGAACGCTGCAGCGAGGTTATTATCAAAGACCCACAGGAGAGCCCACATTACACCTGGTTTGCATTTGAGGAGTCATTTTAAAATTTTGGTTTTAACTTTCAGAGCACTTCATGGTCAGGCCCCCAAATACATACTGGACCTTCTGAAGCCTCTCTGTCCATCCAGGACTTTGAGGTCTTCTAATCAAATGCTGCTGGTGGTCCCTCGAACCCATTATAAAACCCTTGGAGGCGAAGCTTTTCAGGTGGTGGCCCCGAGGCTCTGGAACGCTCTCCCTCTGTCCCTTCACTGCTCAGATCCTACTGACTGTTTTAAGAAACATCTTAAGACATTTTTATTCAGACAGGCTTTTAGTTAAGTGCTTTTTATTGTGTTTTAATTGTTGTTTTTATATCTGTGATCTGTTTTATTGTTTTTAATTATTTTTGCTTTCTGTGAATCACTTTGAGATGTTTGTCTGTGAAAGGTGCTATTGAAATAAAGTTTTACTTACTTACTTACTCTTGCTACAATGCTGTCATTGCAAGTATGACTCAGCCCCCTGTAAGCAAAAGGTGTGAATCAGGGCCCCAATGATACCAACACAAAGAGGGAGGGACAAAAACAAGGGGGTGTTAAACCCCCGCTTACATTCACTACATTCACATAACACGACATGGGTCAGGTGATGGGGCACATGACCCTCAATGAACAATAGAGCCAATCAAGCCTATTGTTAGTCGATGGCCCTATTTTGCATTTGACTAACCTGTTTGTCCATGTGGAGGCAGTGCTCATAAGGCTGAGTTTCAACTGAAACTCATCAGACTGATGAAGTCTCTTGGAGGAGAGACGAGACATTTCACTAAAGAAGAACCCATCCAGAGGAACTACTTATTTTTTTCTTTTTGACCTATTATTGACTCATTTATTCAAATTCCGTGTGTCAAAGCAGAGAGAGAACTTAAATATGTTGGATAGCCGCCCTTAAGGAATTGGACTGGGCACCACCGGTGTAGATGCTGAACAGTTCCAAAGTATCAGCATTTTAACTCAAAGTGCGCATGTTTATGATGTTTATGATTTGTCCTTCACCAGATTTAGTGTGTTTAGGTAGAACATTTTGAAACAATACACCTATAAACAACCAGGTGCTGCTTGTCCTCGAGGCATTTTTACCTTTCTGTGCTCTCAAACCTGAAGACTACAACATGAAATTGATGGCACTGACTGCTACAGCCTCTAGCTGTAGCTGCCAAGAAAAACGGCTTGTTATTTCTGATAGGACAGCAGGGCTGAAAGCTTTTTTGCAAGATGTTGCGGTGGTAAACCACTTCAGAGTGCAGCGCACTCGGTGAAAACTAGTACACTCACTCTGCTGGTAATTTTAAATACAAAAACAGCTTTTTTTTGTGTAATAAAAAAGTTAATTTGCATATCTTGTTTGATTCACATTAATCATCCCGTGACCTCTTTTAGATGATCATCTCTGAGAAAAACATCGAAAATGACCACAGTTTTCAGGTGAAGCAGTCAAAAAGCACAACATGGAGAGCAGCAAATCTGAACATGAAAAGAAGAAGAAAACTAAAAAATACAAAATAATGAGCCTTTGGTCTGGGAGAAAATGATAATAGCTGTCGCTTTTGCACAGAATTTCAACAAGTACATTTAAGCAAATAAATAAGGACGGCAAAAGTAATTTAGAAAAACGTTAGACATGAGGAGAAAGTCGTTACACCTTGCTGAGTTTTCTTGTTTGTTTTTGCYCTGCTCTGTGAAGGTTCAGACTTTTTTTAAATCTTGCATTAAAAATGAATCCCATCCCCTATCTTCTTGCCCCTCTTCTACTCTCTTCTCAGATCCAGACTTTGCAGACCTGGGAGTTCCCCCACCTCTGCCCTGTAGGTACACTCCCCCTATCTCTGTTTTGCTCTTGTTTCTTCCTTCTTCCCTTTTTATCTCACTTGTTTGATCGCTCATCTTTTTCAGCATTTCAAGCAAACAATGGTTTTTTTTGTGTAGATACAGAGTTTGGCTTTTTCAATGTTTGCATGTATATGTGCCGTACTTGTGAGTTCTGTGTGCTTGTTGGACTTGTACACCTGTAAATCTATATGCATATATTGTGTGTGTTAATGCATATGCGTGTGTTTCAGCCTGTCAGTATGACATGGTTGGTCCAGAAGGCATTGTTGAGTCTCATCAGATCACCCGGGACGGGAAGGCCGGTGCCGCTGAAGCCGTCGACTGTAAATGGTACATCCGGGCTCCGCCTCGTTCCAAGGTTAGTGACATACTGTACATGATCCTTATCTGACAATAAAACTGGTATAAATCAATGCTGTGCTGCCAGAAGGAACAGATACCAAACAGAAATCAACTTAAAGCACACGGAAGACTTTCAGCTCCTTACTAAAATGTGTCTCATTATTCTCCTTGCCAACACTAATTAGCTGCGAATGTCTTGAATTGGGTTTTCAGTTAAAAATATTGGTCCGATGATTGTCCATTTGATTTGATTTTTATTTTCAGTTGGGCAGCGTGACAGCTCAGTGGTTAGCATCGACGCCTCACAGCAAGAAGGTCCTGGGTTTGATCCCCAATTTGGACCTGGGGTCTTTCTGTGTGGAGTTTGCATGTTCTCTGGGTACTCCGGTTTCCCCCACCCCTAAAAACATAGGTTGCCTTCAGGCCCAGGCCTCCCTTGGAAAAGAGACCTGCGATCTCAATGGGACTTGCCTGGTTAATTAACAGTAAATAAATAAAATAAATAAATAATTGACATTTGCAGTTGGAGCATTGTTTCATGGCTGTTAGCCAGTTGGCATAAAAAATCCTGAAGGTTGAAATCAGTTCACCAGTTTCCACTTTTACCTGCCCTGAACTTGTTACAATTAAAGTGTTTCAGTTACAGTTTCAATAAATACGATTAATTTTGTTTTTTTTAGATGACATTAAGCTCACTGGGGCTTTTTTTTATTWCCCCCATATTTCTCAAAAACAAACAGTCTTCCTGCTCTTTTATGGCCCAGCCTCCTCTACACCGCCCTATGGCACGGCGGGCTGMTAACAATGGTGTGACTGTAATTCATGGTCACAGCAGCTGCTCTTCGGGTTCCATATTTCTACGTAACACCTTTTGTTTCTCTCAGAAATGCCCTTCTGATTCAGCTGCTTTAAAAGTCAAGGCCACAAAACTTTGAAGACCTTCAGACTTTTTTTTTTTTACTGAAACATCAGCGTTTCCTGAAAACCCAACAATAACAGGTAGCAGGAGGAACGCTGCTCACCCCGCCCCACACCTAAAAAGGCAGCATTGATTCCTCAATTACTCAAGTGAAGTACAAATTTTTGTCAGCACATTGGAGGCAAAAAATGGAGAACCAATTTCGCATATGCGTCACTTGAGTGCTTCTGTATACGTGTTGCCAAGAAAGGTTTTGTGCACAACAAGCGGGCAGAAATTTGGAACAAGCTTTAAATTGAATCCCTTGCAGGTGCYTTGCAGGGCAAATTAGAGGCTAAAACCTTATTGGCACTGATGGGCAGGGGAGCTAAACCTTTTTTTCTTTTTCCTTTTTTTTGTATGATTCGGTCTCACCTGCTGTGTAGTGATCACATTTAATAAAAGAGCCTTCTTTACAACATCAAACAGACATGCTCTGCAGCAAAGGAGATGCAGAGAATGCAACCCCCCACTCACCCCCCACAGCACCGTGTACACGAGGTTGTGCTCTAATCTGGACGAGGCGTTTATTCCTCTTTGCAGATAAAGTACTGCACTGTACCCAGTGTGCCAGAAAATAGCAAAGAGAGAGAGAGAGATAATGACATCCTATACCGGAGGCTCTAATTAGACTGCACCGGAGGACTCCAGAGAGAAGGCAGGAAAGCGGGGTGCAGAGGAGGCAGAACAGTAAAGGGAAGGGGGAAAAGATGCCAAATAAAGTGTTATATCTAAGGTCTAAATGTATAAGGATTCCAGATTAAGGGTGGGATCTCAGCYGGCAGGCAGTGAGAGGGTGAGGGCACCTGCAGGAAGACACTCATGACCACATGTTGCCAGAAGTGACAGCAATGCAGCACTTTTAATGGTGATCTTGTAACTTTACACCAGCATGTGTCATTTTAACATCAGCCTTTCCTGTAAAAATAAATAAATAGAAATTTGCAGGAGGCCACACGGGAAAGTAAAATGACAAAATTAAAGCAGTTTTAATGGTGTCAAACGTAAAAGAACAACATTTATCCAGCGGCAGTAGAGTAAAACCAAATGTCACGCGCACGTCTGGCAGATGTTTTCTTTCTTTCTCTCTTTTGTGTTCCTGTTTTGACAGCTGTCCACATAAACCTGACAGTTCTTACTTGTGTTAAAGAAATGCTTTCAGTTATTCTATGATTTTTTTGTCCTCTCTATTTTTAAACCACAACTGTTTGCATTTTTTGACATTTCTAGAAAGTTAATGGTCAAAATACAGCAAGCGATTCTGTCTGTAACAAGCAGCCACCTTGTARCCACAGAGAGAGCGCGCTCTTCTCCAGTCAGGGATGGATTCCTCTTCATTACTGAGCTCTGAAATCAATGAAGCAGCCTCCTTTTTTTCTGCTGCAGCTCACATGTCACCTTGCAAATGAGTGATCATATCCGTTTGATTCATTGGCATCTTTTTGTTTCGCAATGCCGTATGGCCTCTGATTTTTTTTTTCTYGTCACTCATTGGTTAGAGTTCACAGAAAGGAGAGGCAGAAAATCCACATCAGAAGCTTTTGTCTGTTTGTGTCTCTCGGTTTCTGGTATGTATTTGTCACATAATTAGGCCCTTCTGTTCACCCTCCAGTCTGTGTAAACAACTGCAGCACATAGCACACAATGATTTTTACACTGCAGCAGATGATCAAAACCATTAAAAKAACATTYTTCTTGTCTAAACTGAGCTGGATGAACCAACTTCAAACAGCCTATCAGCTTAAAAGAAACAAATTCCATTTAGATGAACAATTCAAAGAGATAATGATGTTTTAGAGGRTGCATAAGTAGTGGAGCGTTCTTACTTTTCATTGTTTAGTCAAATAAAGTGTCATGAAAAGTTCAAGTACTCAAAAAAAACTTTGAAAACCAGATCAGATGTCCAAATAKGTAAAGTTAAAAACTGGAAGGGAAGTTGTTGATCTCAACAAATTTTAGATTGTTGCAGAGGCAACTACTTTTTCCACTTATTTAATCATTTTCACAGATGGTTCGAGGTTTGCTTCTAAAGTTTGCAGGAATTTGCTACCAATGTAATTTTCTCTGTCTTAATTAATTWCAAGCCCATGACATGGGCTCGTCCAACTTTTAGTTTTTATTTCTGTTTTTAACAAAACTCCAAACCATTTTTCCACTGAACACACTTGTACTCGTTTGAATCAGAAGATTAGTTTCTAGATTATTACACATGATTTCTGTCTAAGCTTTAGGCTATTTGATGTTTATTTGCAAAAATATTTTTTGTATGTTTCTAATTCTACAAGCACAAAAGTACAGCTGATCTTGGCAAATTACTTTTTTTCTGCTTTTTCCAAGTAGGGGTCTCTGCAGTACATGTTGTCCCGTGGGCRGAGTTGGTGTGTGGGCGGAGTTTGCTCTAACCATGGTTGGTTGGATTGACTTGTYTTGTGGGGCAACTTAAAGTGCCTGTGRCATGCATATACTTAAAATACAAAAAGTCAAAGGAAACATCTTTATACTTAAGAAAATTGCCCTAACACACATGATTTTATCCATTTTGTCACATAACTGGCCTATTTTCTTTTGAATTTGTCTCAGCCAAAGTAAGACAGGTAGTGACATCAAAKGGGAGCTCCTTAATTAAAATAAAATAAAATCTTTGGTGTTTGTGTATTACAAACCCCAAAACCAGAAAAGTTGGCACGTTGTGTAAATCGTAAATAAAAACAGAATACAATGACTTGCAAATCATTTTCAACCTATATTCAATTGAACACACTGCAAAGACCACATACCTAACGTTCGAACTGGTAAACTTTGTTATTTTTGCAAATATTAGCTCATTTGGAATTTGATGCCTGCAACATGTTTCAAAAAAGCTGGCACAAGAGACAAAGAAGACAGAGAAATTTGAGGAATGCTCATCAAACACTTTTTTGGAATATCCCACAGGTGAACATGCTAATTGGGAACAGGTGNTTCTGTGGTCTGATGAGTCCACATTTCAAATTGTCTTTGGAAACTGTGGACGTCGTGTCTTCCGGACCAAAGAGGAAAAGAACCATCCGGACTGTTATAGGCGCAAAGTTCAAAAGCCAGCATCTGTGATGGTATGGGGGTGCATTAGTGCTCAAGGCATGGGTAACTTACACATCTGTGAAGGCACCATTAATGCTGAAAGGTACATACAGGTTTTGGAGCAACATATGCTGCCATCCAAGCGACGTCTTTTTCATGGACGCCCCTGCTTATTTCAGCAAGACAATGCCAAGCCACATTCTGCACGTGTTACAACAGCATGGCTTTGTAGCAAAAGAGTGTGGGTCCTCCCCTGGCCTGCCTGCAGTCCAGACCTGTCCCCCATTGAAAATGTGTGGCGCATTATGAAACGTAAAATACGACAACGGAGACCCCGGACTGTTGAACGACTTAAGCTGTACATCAAGCAAGAATGGGGAAGAATTCCACCTGAAAAGCTTCAAAAATTGGTCTCCTCAGTTCCCAAACGTTTACTGAGTGTTGTTGAAAGGAAAGGCGATGTAACACAGTGGTAAAAATGTCCCTGTGCCACCTTTTTTGCAATGTGTTGCTGCCATTAAATTCTAAGTTAATGGTTATTGGCAAAACAAAATAAAGTTTCTCCGTTCGAACATTTAATATATTGTCTTTGCATTCTATTCAGYTGAATATGGGTTGAAAAAGATTTGCAAGTCATTGTATTTTGTTTTTATTTACGATTTACACAACGTGCCAACTTTTCTGGTTTTGGGGTTTGTAAAACAATATCATTCAAACTTTAACTCTTCTTCATCCCTCTTTGACTCAAAATAATATAAAGAAACATCAGATTATTGTTTCTTTACATTATCTAATTGTCTAAGTAATGATAATAGTAAGTACTGATAATAGTAAAATAATTTGATTTATTGAATGTCTATGTACAGTTTAAAACAGAACAATGACTCAAATAAAAATTATTGTGAACATGTATTGACTTCAAATTTCATGTGGCTTCCTGTCAAGTTATGACTAAAATTAATATCTATATTCAAAAAACATAGGTGCTTCCTGCTCAACATGACTAAGCTGCAGTCAGCTTCTTTRAACCCCACCGTCAATCTGACCAATCACGTCTTGAGCCAGTTCTGCCACAAAATAAGAAACTCCTACTCACTGACTGCAGAGACCCCCTTCTCGCCTTTTTTTACTATCTGTAAGCTAATAAACTTAATTGACAATTATTAAATGTAATCACACTTAAATAGGTCAGTCTGTCAACATTAGTTTCTGAAAATACAYCTTAAAACCGGCCAACACCATCTGCAACAAGCCTCCTTCCAGAAATCATCGCAATGGTCAAGATTATCTTAAGTTACTGTGTTTGCTGTTTTAATTAGTCATCAGCACCAGAAAGTCTTCACAAAAAGCTTGGCGTTCATTTAAAAAAACAGTGTTATGCTTTTGCAATTAGTCCCTCCTGCCTGTAGTAACACTTGAACTGGTTCCAGATGGCTGCATTCAGTGTATTCTTGGTGCTGTGGGGGCAAAACTCAATTTGCTCGCCGCGTGCCGACGGAACAACCGGGCCAAGTGGCCTTATTAATATTCTTACTGTTGCTTCTTCCAATTATTTGTTCTTAAATTTTAATTTAGATGAAGTTAGATTTTGCTGAGAGCATCTAACTGTGACCTCAACTGTCCCATAAGCTTACTGACCCCAATATCAGACCTCAGAGGGGTGGGCTCTTAGCTTGTTTTTTGGCACTCTGATCCATTTCACTTGTCATGTTGTCAAAGCCAGGTCGACAATGCAAGGTCCATTATCCTGCTTCATCTGGAGCTTTTTTTTATTCATTTTTTTATTTTTTGTGTCTTTGGGCATTTAAAAGCATCACAGTTAGGGAGCTTTCCACTCATTAACCAGAATGATGGTGAACGCTGCACAGGRGACGAAAACCGTGGCAGTGATCGTCCGAATTCAGCCCTGATGAATGAGTGGCGGACAGGGATGCAAAGCTGATGTGAACGCAAGATGGATGTTTTAGTCAACATGGGATTGTTGGAAAGATAAAGTTCATAAACTGTTTTTAGGCACACTTTTAGGAGAAGCTTCTGACAAAACAYCCTATGTCTTCCAGCTTTAACAAGGTTGTAGATTTTGGTGTAGTTTCTGATCTCACCAGATATGGATAATGAGTCTAAAACTACTGGACTCTATCTGGCTCCTCATTTAAATGCATCTGTAATGATTTTGTGCAAGCAGCAGTCGGTCAGGCTTATTTTATTAAAAGGTTGCTATATCAGGCGCTGGGACTTGTACTTAGATCCAAAGGCAGTAACGACATGAGGCAGAAATATTTTCTCTTTTTTTTTTCTCTCCTCAGCATTTTTTCCTGTCAAGACAAAATGTTCCAGCAGTTGAAACTTTTCTCACTCAATCTGTTTTTCTCCATCATGTCTTCCTTTCTTCTTCGTGTCGAGCAGATCTACCTACGTTTCCTGGACTATGAAATGGCGAATTCCAACGAATGCAAACGCAACTTTGTAGCAGTCTATGATGGTGGAAGGTGGGACTTTATGAATACCTTTGATTTGATTGTAGGTCATAAACATGTTACAGGTTCAAAACTTTTAACTGAACTTTTCTAGGGTTAAACACACAAGTGGAATATGAACAATTCAGGTAGTTGTAACAAGTTTTAAGGGAAGTTCTGTTTTTTTTTTTTTTTTTCCCTGCTGGAGGTCTATGAAATGATTCTGAACTATTATTATTCTACCTGTCATTAATGGTTCTTTGAATAAGCTCAGTTTAGAGAAATACTGTGTAATTTTGACCAGAATAATCAATTGATACAGTAAGTGGAGCTATTCTCTCATGAAACCGACTCCATTATTTAAAAATTTCAGCAGTTTATGCAGACGCTGTTTGATAAACCTTTACACTTCCATCAGTTTTGAATAACAGAACTATTCCAACAGATAATGTTATGATATTCCAACTGAAAGAGCACAAGAAGGTAAAAGATAGCTGCAAACATTGTAAATAATCAGAATGCCATGTTATGCTAAACTGGTGGTTGCACTAGATATGATTCTTCCATCAGGACACAGTGTACAGGCATGCTGTGTGTGACAGGGCTGCAAAGAAAAAGAAAAGTAGAAAGAACAAAGTTACTACTCTCTGAAAGATAGAAAAATTGCTCTCCATCAGCAGATTGAAAGGATGAAAAAAATAGTTTTGTGCAAGGCTGGGGGGAAAAAAATAAAAGTTTCATTGGGACGCATCATGATTTTGTAAAAGAAAATGTTGTGTTTCAGCATTCAGCCTCCTGAAATCTAAAAGATTATATTTTGTAGTTCAAAGACTCAAACTTAATTCAAGATGAATCTTTTGTAAAAACCTGGTGAGTGTTCATGAGAGGAAGCACCAGAGTTGATGCTAAACTCTACACGAAAATGGGCGGGACTGATCAGAACCTTTTAATTTTTTAGGGAATAACTGGCCCTAAAAAGTAAAAAAAAGGGCTTTAATTACATTTCTTTTACAAATGTTAATAAACTACAACTTAAGAAAATGCATGAAAAGAAATGTAAGCTTATGTTTAAGAAATAAATGCGAAAAAAGATAAAAGAAACCATAGAAATGATTAAGAAGGGAACATCTAATAGATATTTCTTGTTCATTCTATCACAACAGAAGATTTTATCCCTAAATTTAATTAAATCTTTTTTTAAAACTAACAACAGTTACTTTCTAATTTAAAATGCACCTTGCTGTTTTTCTAATTGCTTCTCACCAACTTCTTGCAGTCATGAGAATAAAACTTGCATTCTTATCTCGCCCCTGTCTTGTTTCAGTTCGGTAGAAGATCTGAAGAGCAAGTTCTGCTCCACGGTGGCCAACGACATCATGCTGGTCTCCACGCTAGGAGTCATCCGTATGTGGGCGGACGAGCTCAGCCGCAAGAGCCGCTTTCGCATCCTTTACACGACTTATCAAGAACGTAAGATTTACAAAACACACACTAACATCTGACTGAGCTGCTGTGTATTGATGAGTTAAAAAAGAAAACTGGTTTTATTGGCAGCCATGAAAGGAAGATGGAGGCACAGCGGCAATGTTTATGGCTTCTTACATCAGCAAAAAGAGTACATTTTGTTTGCTGCCAAATGTTAGGTGAAGAGACACCAACATGCCAGTTTTAGGACAGGTAATGTTCCCTGTGGGTAATTGTGAATATAATAAAGGATGGGCAATATCCCCTGACTCAACACTAACAGATGGGGCATAGGCATTTTACTGAACTCCTTTTGTTTCATGAAAACCATATTAATATAAAGCCAGTGGCGGATCAAGGATTTTTCTGAGTAAGGGGCCATCAAGGAGCCACCGTATTCATAGAGGTGCCAAGTCTTTGTTTAGCATCCTTGAACACAAATCTCTGGTTTTGGTATGGTGTATATATTTAACCAGTCACAAATTTAAACACTTGTAATTTGAAAACGGCTTGCACAGTAAATTCTCCTTACCAATTTTACATGCATTTTTCAGCCATCATTTGTGATTTAAGACTTTTTCTGCAGGATTTTTCAAATTTTACGAAAAGAAATTTACTTCTGTCAACTTGGTTCATGCTGGATGTTTCTATTTGGCTCATTAGCACCTCTAATGTTCAGACGTAGAACTGCACCCAGCATCATCACTCTTGGGCAAAGGACAGATGAGTGACAGGACAGAGGGGCACTTCAGGTGGCCAATCAAATTTCAGCAGGGGCCAATGCCCCTGTGGCCCCATCGCTAGAACCACCCCTGTAATAAAGCTGAGGTAAGAAAGTGGGCGGAGCTACAGTGTTTGCACTTTCTTTAAATAAACATTTCAAAATAAAAAAGTCTCAGCAAACATTCTGTACAATGTTTAATGAGGGGAGGTTATCGACGGGTTCATAGGATGTTTGGGTAAATCTCTAAAGGGAATCGTGGACACCGACATGGGCAATCAGCAAAAAGCTGGCAATAATAAAACATTACTTTAAATTCCACTCAATTTTATTAGTTTACAAGAAACAGAATTATCTTAAAAACATGAACATGATCTTGACACACCAAACTGCCTGAACTGCTTCTGTTTGCATTCAGGACTTTAATCCATATGGGCAACAGCGGCAGCCGCAGGTTGTTTATGTAGCAAAGCCAGTGTCCCTATTGTAAGACCTTTTTCGCCAAGCGGAGCCAGGGTGTGCTGTTGCCAAGAGCAACGCTTCTGCCTAAGCCACTCGGGCAGTCCTCAGCCCTGCACCCAGCACAGCTCAGCAGCTCCACACAGACACAGTCAACGGCAAACGCACCGACCAACGAGAKCTAAAGCTGCATGTAATGCAGTCCTCTGTGGGCTCTTTGCTTTCACAAAATACAAAACTAAAAACTAATCAAGTTTGGAAATAAAATAATTCCAAAGTGTAAACCTGCACATTTTGTTTGCATCAGGTCAGTAATGTAACCCACGGAATTCCAAATAAGTTGAAAAATTACATCAATACTGAAAATGATGTTGATAATCCGAATGTAGTAATGAAAATAAAGCAAAAAACTGTTCATTTAATTTAAGACAAGTTAACATATGGTTAAAAAAACAGGTGCAATTTAAATATTGAGCATGCCTGACTGTTACAGGGTAGACAGCTGGGTTTGCATTCTATACGTTTTCACAATATTATTCTTTAGCGTCATTGATTCTAGGCTTTTTCCCATTTGTGCATGTGTGTGTGTTGGGTTTGACAATTGTGAAACTCAAGACGGCCAGCATGGCTAAGTAACCTTAACAAGCACAAAAATGGCCATAACCTTGTCAATTAAAAAAATGTTGAGCTAAAATGTGATGTGGTAGTAGCCAAGAGTTATCCCCAGCACATACTCTGAGCACTACACAATGATACACTAGTGAAATWGGCCCCTGCTGAAATCTGATTGGCCCCCTGACATGCCCCTGTCCTGTCACTCATCTGTCCTTTGTTCAAGAGCAATGATGGTGRGTGCAGTTCCACATTCAAACACTAATGGCGCTGATGAGTCAAGTAAGAAAGTCCAGCATGATTCAAACTTACAGAATTCTTCTTCTCTTCTTAAGAAAATTTGAACAACCCTGCAGAAAAAGGATTTCAACTGACAGACAATGGCTGGATTTTTTTTTCACATGCTGTGTGTTTGAGAATATTTTATACTGTAAAAATGCATGTAAAATTGGTAAGAAGAATTTACTGTGCAAGCTTTTTTTTTAAATAGCAAGTGTTTGAATGTGTGTGACTGCTTGAATGTATAAATATTACCAAGACTGGGGATTTGTGTGCAAGGATGTCAGCCCCTTTATAAATATTCTGGCCCCTTGATGGCCTCTTATTCAGAAAAGATCTGCCACTTCTTGAAATCAATGTCTGCATCAGCTAATCGATCTTAGTCGCCACAAAAAATGACAATAACTTGGTCAGATCTGGAAATGTTGAGCTAAAATTCATTGCAGTAGTAGCTGACTGTGCCAACACATTCCRAATGAGGTTAACGGTAAGTTAATTTACAACATTTGATTTAAACATTTATAACTTCATCCCTTTCTCATCATAACATGATCATAGTTTAAAACTGCAACATGAAAGCTGGCAGGTGATATGCATGCCTTTAAGGAATGCAAAGCTTTTCATGTTTTTTTTTTAAGTTTTAAGTTGGAGCAAGAGGCTCCTGTGATGAGAGACACAAACGTCCTCATGATTACTTGTATAGCAACCAAACCTGCTAATACAAGTCACACTCACAGTCCTCCTTCACAGAACTAGAGTTATGATGAAAAAAAAAGGTCTAAGAAATTGAAACCTACATTCATCCAAGAAGCAATTATGTCTTAGGTGATAAATGTGTCTGTGCGACATCTCAGCTGTCAGCATTGTTTCRCCTCATCTGCAACCTGTCTCTGGGGCTGCAGATGGAAATGTGCTCTGGCTCCACTACACACATCACTTCTTGTTCCCTGCAAAGCTTCTTTGCCGTGTGTACGGAGGCATTTGAGAGCAACATAGTATGCTAATGTTTGTTAGCGTAGGGATTTTTGCCTGGTTCTGATCAGATTATGCTATCTGTGTGCACTTGTCATCTCTGTTGCCGTGTGATCAAGAAATCAAAAAAATGTCATGAGATGGGAGTCACTTGTAGCATCTAAAATCAGCTGAAATCAGAAATAGATACACGGGCAATGTGCTGCTGTGCTTTGGTGATAAAGGGATTGTGGATATTTTTTAAAGTGTGTTTCTGTTGAAACTTATCAAACCTGCAATATAGATGGATGTTAAAATAAATGAAGTTAAAAAAGAATTATGGCAATTTATCCATCTGTCCATTAACTTTGTCTGCTATTCTGGGTCACTTGTTCCCATGTCCAGCAGCAAAGTACATCCTAGACAGGTCGCAAGTCCATTACTGTATTTATAGTTTCTGCAAATGCTAATTTATAAACCATTACACTGCCTTCAAGTTAAAAATTATATCCCTGTGGATTGTAATGTTTGCRTATGACACTGTGGTTTGTGGTGGGAACAGGTGGAAGAGAACTTGGAGAGGTGGTGGTATGCACTTAGAAAAAGAAGAAGAGAGTCAGCCGTAACATGACACAGTACAGGGTGTGGTAGGTGGAACAGTGAGGCTACAAGGARCAGAGGCCACAAAGGTGCAGGGCTACTTGCATCAAACTGAGGACTTTGTATTAACTTCCATTCATTTTTTGTAACTGCATTTATGGCGAACACCCTGACATTTTCCCTAACACTAATCATTACAAGTACTGTATATCCGTAACCCTAATCTGACCAAGACTTAATTCACACCATACCTCTAATCTAACTAGTAAAGCGTAGTAGAGCTGCAAAAAAGTGAGGACTGGGACAAGGTCCTCACTTTATATTAATGACCTCACTTTGATAGTAACCATTTTGAAAGTGGTCCTCACTCTGTAGCAGAAACAAGTACACACACACAAATCCACCAGCTGACAAATAATACTTGATTAAATAAGTAAGAAAAAGTTTTATACTCGAAGCATTAGCAATGAAAAAAAAAACATTTAACTGAGGAAACAAACAGAGCCGTCAGAGAAATGTCACAGTTGTGCTAATATAAACCAAAACCTCACTACAGTAAAACACAAACAAACTTGTAGTTACAAAATGTAGTTTAAAAATAAAAAAACTGTAAAATAATGATGTGAATGTTGACACAGCGATCACACAATGAGAAAGTGGGGGGGGGAACGAAATAAAGCAAGGTTTTTAAATTACTCATCAAGAGTCTAGTTTACTCAGGAAAGGATGGAAAGGTCCAGGCAGAGTAAGAGATACAGATAAGTCACTTTAATTTGGTGTATTATTATTCGCTTGGGATGAGAGCGGGAATAAAAACAGCCATACATCACGGTGGTAACACTGTCGGAGAGCCCCCAGCACTGCCAAGCTCCTTCAGTGCCACTGACAGGATTGTGTGTGAGTGGGGAGTAAATAAAAGATAAAGAGAGACAATGAGAGACGAGGAAGGACATCTTTGTAACAACTGACCAAACACTCATCCATTATGGTCACATTCACTGTGACACTTCTTACCTGCAGAACCACATGCACAGTTTGTTAGATTAATGCAGTTTTATTGTCAGTGTGCAGACAGATATCTGTAAATTACACAGAAGTACATACATTTTAGTCTGAGTGCTCCTGTGTTAGATTTATTGTGTGCAGCAACTTTGTTGGCCACGTTTCATTTATTTGGATTAATAAAACAATAACATATTCGTTATGCATTCAATTTACTAGAGCACTACAAGACTTTTGCTTCTGGCTATGTGTTAAAATGTGTTATTGTTTCTTTTTTACAAGCAAAACCTTTCTGCTATTACCAGCATTATTATTATTATTATTACATATCCATCATGCTTATAATTTAGCAGTTCCTCCAAAGAATTTTAGAACAGTAGATGCCAATAAACACAATTCATTGTGATAGGACAGTCAAAAACAAGCAAATGACAATATTTTGTAGACTCAGCTTTTAAAAGTAACTGTTAAGTGATTATAAAAAGTAAATGTTGGAAAAAGTTCCACTGCTATTGGCTTTTAGAAGAAGACAACTTGAAATTTACATCAGTGTTTTGAAGGGGTTTTGTGCCAATGATTGGGAAATGTCTTGTCACACATGAAATACAGTCTTTAAAGAAATCAAAGTCCTCAAGTTTTCTTTGCAAAACTTTGAACCGGCTAACCTGCAGGCCTAACCATAACCCAGATTAAATGAAGCCCTGCTCTTGAACCCTTTGGAGTAAATTCAAAAGCCTAGTAAAGCTATCAATCTGAATTTTTGTAACAGCAACTAGTATTTAGTTATTGAAGTTAAAATACATTATAAACATCGTTTTTTTTCTCATTTCCAAAGCTGCATATTGAATAAAAAAGTAACTTTACTGACTACACAGCTGTTGTGTCAGAATGAAGCTCAGAGCTGATTGGTTGATTCTAGTCAACCATGTGTACGATGGACAGGTGGGACATGAGGGGCTTGCCACACATTTTGTGCTCTAGAGAATCTATAGATGAACCCAGATGGTCAAAAAGAGGTGTCAATTGAAAGATGACAGTCAATCAAACTTTTAAACTGCCTATTATGCAAATTCAAAGTCCCTGGTRGCCCTGGTCCATGGGTCAGGCTATGAAGAGGCAGGAAGTAACCACAAACKRGAAGTGTACTGTGGGCAGCACATTGAAAGTTAAGGGGTTAAAAATGAGGTTGAAGATGAAAATTAAAATCAAAGCAGAAGTTATCAGAGAAATGCATTTCTACATTTATTTTCTCAAACCTGGTGCCAGTCTTCAGTTGTACTTGCAGTAGCAAATATAAATGTCTCCCAGACTTACACTTTGTTATTGGTTGACAMGATTTTCCAAAATTAACGAGTTCTACTTATTTTTTTTCTTTTAGCAAATCGAGCTGAGTGTTTGAGTTTGAGAAAAGATTTCTGCAACTTTTCTTTCTGTCTTTTCAGCTCCATGTGATGCAGATGCCTTCTTTTGTCACAGTAACATGTGTATAAACTACACGCTGGTGTGTAACGGTATGCAAAACTGTGTCTACCCCTGGGATGAGAACCAGTGTAAAGGTGAGAGGTTTGGCTCTGTGTGCTTATGAAAGACTGTTTCAACCCTGCTCTTCGTTTCAGGACCACGGACAGCAATGCACAGTTGGGTTTCTTGCACCAGTTTAAACCATTTGAAATCCTATTTTTAAAAAAAAGAGGTGTAGCAAAAACGGCTGTTTTATACTTGAATGAACTCTAAATGTAGAAAGGATTTTCAGTCAAAAGATTTTTCTTTTTTTTTTACCTTTGCATTTTGTCAATGATCATTCTGCTTAAAAATCAAATTTGTAGTTAATCTGTATTCTTCATTTAGTTCTTATGTGCAGATTTCCCCTCACATGTTTAAGAAAACACATTAGAAAAGACGATTATAGTATTTTATACTGTAACTAAACTTTAAAGAATCCTTTTAGACAAATTACATCAATTACAGAACTCACGGACGACGCATTTCTCATTTAGACCAAGACACATTTCCTTTAAACAATTTAAATCTGAATTTCACAGAAGAAACAACGCCATGTTTCCCAATTTGTTCCTCTGTTTTCCTGCAGAAGACCCACATTTGTCTTCATTAGCGGTAAAATGTCATGTTTTATTTTCTGCTGCTTTACACGTGTAAACGAAAGCATTTACTGTCATTTAAATGTCAAAGATCTGCMTACAGATTAGTATTCTGCGCACTGTTGGTCTGAGCTACTCTTTGTTGATTCCACTTGGGATAACTAGACCATAGCTGTGATCACATCTGACCTTTTTATCCAGCTGTATGAGAGCTGGAGGAAGCCTCTGTTCTTATCTGCTGCAGGATAAGCTCTATTAGCTATGAGCCATTTTCACTCACTGGAAAAGRTTGATAATATTTTCTGCTGTTTCTGTCTCTAACCATTAGCTAAGCTGGGCTCTCTTGTACTAAATAACTTTTTTTTCTGAAACCAAAACTGACAATCAGTACTTTATTTTTGGTGAGAACTCGATTTYACCAGCTAGTAGATAACATCATAAGTACCGATACTGTAGTTTTCTCTGAGTCATTCCTGTGTTCCTGTTTGAGGTGAACTCAAAAGGGTTGATACAAATTTGGGTACTAGAAACTCTAGAAATATCTAAGCCTTACCCTGACAACAAACAAACTGAACAAAATTAACCTATAACCCCTAATTTACATTACATGCCACTTCACGCCGCTGTGGTGCGCAGTTTACAGCCGTTCGTTTGCACCCCAATTTATACAGGGTCCACTYCGCTCCGGTCTGGAGCACAGAGGAGGTCCGAGAAGCATGTGCAGGACATGATAGATTGCACAATAAATCCAGGTATAAATGTGGAAGTCAGAGCAAAAATAGTTAATTCTGTGGAGGACAGACTMCAAACACAGTTGAAACTGTATCGCTGTCGTCTTTTTGAAACTTCTGATTTCAAAATAAAATCCACGTGTATCATGTATACACTGCACGCTATGTGTTGCCATCTGCTTCTCATGCAGAACAATATGGACAGCATTTGAGTGTAAATATATCCATATATTTGTTAATATAGCTGGGATTTTGACAAATTAGTCTGCCTTTGGTAATTTATTTTTGAAAATAGGGATGTTGTCCTTGTTTCTTTTCCTGTTGGTGCAACATGATCTTTGTAAATTGACTCTGGAGCAGCTCCGGCTTCCAGCAAACAATGGGATCAAATCTAATTTTGGCGGATCGCCGTCCGCTCACCGCCACCCTACGGCGCCAGTGTAAACACTCTCGTTGATTATAATGGTTGTGTATTTACTGAGGAGGTTGGACCGGAACAGACTGGAGTGTAACCACATCCTGTAACCACATCCAGTGTAAATTAGGGGTAAGACCTACGGTGTTTAAAAACCTGGCAACTCAAAATTTTGGAATTTCAAAATCTAACATTGAGATCCATAATGTCTGGGATGCAGTTTGTCTTTAATTAATCACTGGAGTTTTTTTAGAAGTTTTTTTACAAAGTGGTTTATTTTTCTTGCACTTTCTGACTTTCAGTAAAGGTTTAAAAACATTTTTAAACGCCCTCCCATTTTCAGTTGGTCACCAACAGTTGCATATTGCGTGTTATGTTCTCACTTAAACCTATTCTTCATGTTTTTCTCCTCAGAGAAAACCAACACCAGGTTCCTGGACAACCTGAACTCCACAAACGGYGCCATAATTGGCGTCACCTGCTGCATCGTTTTTATCCTCCTCATCATCTCAGTGGTTGTTCAGATAAAGCAGCCGCGTAAGAAGTACATCCTGCGGCGTGAGGACTTTGACCCCACCATGTTTCAGGAGGTCTTTGAGCCCCCCCACTACGAGCTGTGCACGTTACGGAGCGCCGCCGCGCCCACGGCGGCCTCGGCGGATTTAGTCGACTTGGCGGAGGACTTTGAGAACTACCACGCCCTGCGCAGGGCGTCTTCCCGCTGCATCCACGATCACCACTGTGGCTCCGCCTCCAACCCTGGCTCYGCCCACTTATCCCAGCTGTCCCTCAGTGGGCGGGGCAGCCGTAGCAACCTGAGCGCCCGGGACGCTGCGGCGGCCACCCTGCTCGCAGACCTCCCGCAGCCCCCCATGTCGGTGCGGCCCCTGCTGCCCACCGCGGGGAACCGCAGGAGCATCTTAGTCATGAAGCACAGCTACTCGCAAGAGGCGGCAGACAACGGGTGCGACCTGGACGACGACCTGGAAGAAGTTCCCACCACCAGCCACCGACTGTCACGGCACGAAAAGGCGGTACAGCGGTCAGTATCTCTAGATTTCTGATGAGGGAACAAAACTGCTCCGTAGCTGTAAGAACATTTGAAACTGTGCAAAAATAATACTTAGTTTTGAAGTTTTGTCTTCTTTTTTTATTTATTTATTT